CTCAAAATTCTTGATAAGTTTCACCAAGTATCAGTCCCAAATGAGAGGAGGGAAAATTCGATTCTCTCCAGTTTTTACCCACGGTTCCGACTCCACGGTTCCCGAGACTGACGGGTATTCGGGAGCCCTAGCTGTAAGTCGAATTTCGTCAGGCTAGAGTCCCCCAGAGAGGTCCTTCGCGCCGTGCCGATTCCCTTCAGGACCAAGGTGAACTTCAGGGAGGATCAATATGGCTTAGTAACCTCGGCGGAGCTGTATCGAGTCCAGGCATCCCGATTGGAGAGCTTCGAGCTGTCAAATATGGTTCCGGGAGCCTCTAGGTGTGAAGTGTGAATCGCGCCCTCGATGAATCATTTATTTGAACGGATTTGGAGCTTCCAAAGATATTGGAATCCGGGAAATATCGTGAAGGACGCGGTACAGGGCCGCACAGATCGACTTCGCGCTTTGTTATTCTGAGGCCTCAAGGACTGACCAGAGCTCCGGTTGCGGAAATGCACCGCTCCTCATCCGTGGTATCTCGTTCAAGGTCTCGATCTGTTTCCCCCTCGCCAGGCTGGCGCCTATGTTCCCACCTGGGCCTTCGCTGAGCATCCCGGGGAAAATTCCGACACGGAATTTATCGAAGTATCCATCGGGACAACCGCCGAGCTTCTCGTCCCGTATTGCGTCAGGGGGCTCAATCTTGTAAGTGTAGAGGAATGGGCCTCGTCAGCTCTGGAGGATCCTCCTGAGGAAGCAACACCTTCGCAACGGGAGTCACTACTCGGATAAATCGGATCAGGCCACATCATTCGGTCCGTTAGAGAGTCGAATGATCCTCTCCCCAATCCGATGCTGCTGAATATCACTTCATGCATCGGCATGCTCTCTTAGCGGCAGAATGAAGAGCGCTGTGGATTCGAAAGGGGCTCCGTTTGGCGCCATAGAGCTGCGCGCATTTCCAATATGGCGGCGCTCTTGCTAGTTCTATTTGTAGCTGACAGATATCGCTATGTTTCGATAAAAGAACTCGAATGCCCCGAAGGGCCGTCCGAATGATGAGAACTCTAACCCCTCTGCGGCGAGAAGGAGGAATCTGACTATAATCCCAGAGAATCTGATCTTCAGGTGAGCTACTACTGATGAAAGCGACAACTTGGGCGAGCAGAAAACAACAGCTGATTTGGTCGAGGACGTGTAGGTATCATATTAAGATGACAAGCGGATTTCGAAGATGAGATTCCCCATTGTTGCACTAATCGTGGACTCGATCGCAGTATATGATTCGGAATCTCGGATCGAACTATCTCGACGGGTTGGAGTCTTCCTGCCTTCGATTGACTTCCCGCCTGAATCAGTCGGAGCTCCACCGAGAGCGCGAATATTTACCGCGGCCGATCTTGAATATTTGTTCAGAAACGCTTCCCGCCCACTCGATAGAAATTAATCCTATTAGCTTGCTGCTTGATTGTGAGGAATCCCGAGTCGATGCTTCCCCCGGTTACTGGTGTACGCATTGGTATCACCGAGCTTATGCTTTTCCACCATCGAAGCTCGTGAGAGCTTCTCCGTAGTTATTGTATTTCATTTCATTTCTCTGACTGTTTTAGAACAGCCTCTATCGGAATTCGGGTAGAGCCCGATTCTGTCCCATGGCTACCCACGGACTCCGTCCAGCCTCCTCCTTCTCTGCTTCCGTTGGTTCCATTCTCTATCAAATGTCAGCTGAGCCGAGACTCATTAGAGAGTTATAGATTCTCCGCCACCGCTGTGACATGTGGTTGTTCCAGACTGAGCCGATAGAGGGTGCGCTGGAAGATTTTGATGGGGACACGTGTTAGCCATCAAGAGATGCTCGCGCGCTGCTCGAACTGAGTTTCGACCGTGTGTCGGTTCACCTTGCAAGATACCGGCTCCGAAAGGAGAGTATGAGAGGACGGTCCGTAGGCATAAGGACTCCCCCAATTCTCGGAACGCACGCCTCTCTTGGGAATAATGCTGATCGGATCGACGAAGAATTCGATCGGAGAGACATTCATAAGAATCAGCTACTTTTTTCGCCGGAGACCGCGAGGCGAGAGTGTTTTCGCGGCGGTGAAGCGGCATCTCGGTGTCATGTTACCGGTAATCGTATATTCGAACAACCGCATTCGATGCATTTTTCCACGTTGAGGACCAGTAGCCACGTTTCGGAGCGTCAGCCGGCAGAGAAAAATGTCCCTAAATGCGAATCGATATCATTCGGAGGAAGTCTGTTGCTTGTGTCTGTAAGCACCGTTCGCTGAAGCTTTCGGAAGCCTAACCTTGGACACGCAGTCTCTATGTGGCGCGCCTCTCAGAACGAGGTGGGAACACCCCGATACTCTGACTGCTCTCGGGAAAAATTCGGCTGTGTATAGGCGCGTCAGAGCAAGAATGCCGACATCGAAGACCCCTAATCTGTGAACTCGCGAAGTTCGACCGAGAGCTGCAAAGCGGGAAAAGAAAAAATAGGGAACGAAACCGTACCGTATTGGTATGAGCAAGTGTCGCGCAGTTTCCCTCCGATGTCGTATGCTACCAGCGATAGCGCAGACGTACGAGCCCACGCGGCTGTCACCAAGGCTTAGGTGCTCTCGAGTCTTATTTTTCTCGCGACGATCGCAGGCTGTGGAAGACAAGCTTCAGTTGTCGTCTTAGCAGTTGTCGTTGCCACTGCCGTCAACGCCGTTGATTTTGTCCTATTAGCTGGTGCCACAAGTTCCGTTGAAGTTGGCCAATTAGTGAGTCGCAAGCAATGGAGTTGCCCACTCGTAGAGAAGTTGTTTGGAGAACCAAACAGATGAGTACGTCGTGCTAAGAATGCTCTCTCAAAGGAGGGTGATATTCGTGTTTTTTTAGTATCGGAATTTCCTTCTCAGTTTTCACATCTTTGGAATTGGAATTATTGGTTCTCGGTGAGATCTCGGGGAATCCCCGCCTCGAATCACCCCGCTTCTCCATTCTAAGTTGGCTCGCTGGGTATTGGAACGCCAGAGGCGACTGAGCTACCCGAGAGTCACTACGCTGAGCAACGGTCTCAAATCGAATTTTATTTCGGCCAATCAGAATGCATCAGCGTATCCAAGTGTCGGTCTTTCACTTCTTCAGCAGATACGCAGAGTAATAAGGGTATCCGCCATAGTATCCGTACGAGTATGGATGGCCGTAAGCATACGCATAGGCCGGATGGGCGCCGTAAGCGATGTATTGAGAGCTCACCACTGATATGAGAGCGACGAGGACGAGAAGAAGAGCGAATAGCTAGAAAAATATTCGCCATGACTTTCTGTTATGGTCTGCGTCGGGTTCGCACCTACTAAGGGTCCTGTCAATTCATCCGAATCACCCACCTGGGACGCGGAAGCTTTCATGGCAGACATGATGATTCCGTTCTCGGTCGCACTTCGGAAGCGATGATCGGAAAATATTTCTCGTTGCAATTTATACGGCACTTCTGAGGGAAGCAGATGGATCGGTTTGATTCAGGGCGCGGCGGTTCAGCGCCGAACTTCAGGATGGTTTTTCTGGCCGCTGAGAAAGAATCCGGTATACGGGATCCCAGATCGACGGATACGAATCCGGTATACGGATCCCAGTAGAGTCGAGCAGGGAGAGCTCGAAGGACTCCTCGATAGTCATGTGATTATCAGAAGGTTCAAACATGATCCTGTTCAGGTCAAGTCTGTCTGGAACTCGGACTCTGCGATCCCTACCGGTGAGAGACGGCCTTCGCTCCACGCCTCCGATGCGCTGTCGCTGCGTGGCTTCTTCAGCAGAATGCCACTAGGTGCATGCGAGATTGACTGCATAATGAACTTGCAAATTTTCGGTACTTCATCGGTGGTTTCCTTTTCTGATCAAAGACTCCCGAGAAAAATTTCCAGAAAAATCTCATGGTGGTCGCTGAGCATTCAACTGTTTAGAATTTGGTGACGAGGGCTAACCTGTCCTCTGCTTGGAGGCATCAGAGGAGCCCATCCTTTGACCTAAGGGTACTCGGAGCTCTCGGAGAAGTCTGTCCCCCGGTTTCTCAGGAAGTTTCTGAATGCCTAACTCTGAAATTTCAGGCGGGAATATGAGCTCCGTTTGGAAACGACTGCAGCGCGTCAACAAACGCGCTGCCAAATTCCAATTCATCTGCGTCTATCGAGAAATGGAAGTTGTGGCGACGAAGAAATGGAATCCTACGAAACTAAGCGTCGTCTTCACTCGACGCAACCGACGATACGCATCTACCCCGCTGCAATGGGTCAACTCCATAAGAGAGCCCTATCGGTGAGAACCTACGTGTGCGCCCAGTAGCGAGAAGATCTTCAGCGCCGACATCGTGATCCGAAGGCTCGATCGACTGGGAATGCTTGATTTCCCTCTGTTTGCTGACTCTCTCCGATCTCCCCGATTGGGTACCGTCGACTCTTAACATTCGACGGTGGATCCTTACAGGGGCTCAGTGCTTTGGGACGTCCCGGAAAACATCGAGACGAGAGTGACGTTGTTCAAGGATTCACGGAACAACGAGTATGAAGACAAAGAATGGCACTTCGTCATAGAAGACGTCAGCGAAAAGAGCGGGAAACGAAAGCAGGTACATACTAACCGAGAAGAGCAAGGATCTCTTATAATTCAAGCTTCGCAAGTAGCTCCAGGGAACACGGAGCCCTGTGTGGGGACTACAACAGTGGGAGCTTCGGAATCTCTGACATCTGTTCAATGTTCTCAGGTTGCAACTTGCGCCATCAATATGAAGGAGTACGCTAGAGCACAGCCATCTCAGTTCGACCTCCGGTTGAAGTTCAAGCCTCTGTCGGTCAAGTGCGGCGGGGCGGAACTGGTTCTCACAATTCACTCTAACTTTCTCTGCGAAGGAAAAGCCACGTGAGTTGGATATCCTATCGGATGACTCCTTCAAATAAGCTCGACCGGTCTCGATGATTCACCTAGTCATAATATCTAGACGATTATCTCCAGGGATGAAGACATGCAATCGGTGGCATCATTGATGTCCTTGCCTGGCCCGGTCGACGTAGCGAATTTGGACGACTTCGATGAAGTTCCTTCCCCCAACAACTCGCGAGTATCGTCACAGGGCTTGCAAGAAGTACAAATGAAGATCTCAGAATTGACCGGGAAGCTTAGCGAGTTGGCGGAAAAAGTCAATGATCCTCAATGCTCCCGTGACGTTACCGAGCCTCTCCGAGAAGGTAAGTGCAGTCAAGCATTCCCCAGCAATTTTCGGCCAGTAGTGAACTTAGACTTGCGGACTTGGCCGCTTCTGAACCAAGAGAGCGCGTCGTGCAGTCCCTCTCGCTCAAGCTGTTCCATCGCCGAATCAAAATCGCAGCGAGTTTCTGAGTCAAGCAAGATATCAGCTCGACAGAGCAGTCCCTGTGAGCACGAAAGAGATCTACTCGATTCCCAAAGCAACTTTCGGCGCAGCATGTATATTGTCTGCTGTCGGCTTACCCTAATACTCCGTGAAGCTCTGGGAGAGGGACTTCTTCGTCAAAGGGCTTGGATTGCTCGCAACATGAGGAATTGAGATTAGTTCTCTCTGGGGGAGTTGTTTTGGTAGCCTTTCAAAAAAGCTTTTGCCTAATACAATTCGACGTCAGAGTTCGAATATTAGGCTCGCTCCGCAACCCCTCCCAGCTCAGCTTCGTTCTCGAAGCCCGAGCTCCAAACTGATGCTGCGCCGCTCAGCTCACAGCCCGACTCGAATCAGAGTCGCCGTATCATGTAAAAACAGAGATCCGAGCCCCTTACGGAGTGGAAAGCCGTTGGTCAAGATATGACAGAAGTCGCTTGAGGATCCGGAATAAAGTTGAGCGCTATTAATGACCGGCCGAGGAATGCTTGCAAATGGCTGCTCGACTAGACAGTCGGGGAAACCGGGTTTCTGTTCGCTGCAGTGTGAGCTGGTCGAGGGCTATTTAACACGCGGGGCATCGGTCCCCCATACGAGGGAGGGGGGGAGGAGTGGTAACCTGTTGTTCGTCTCCGTGGGATTGAGGATTCGTATCTGTTCGTCTGTCGAGCCAATGCCTTCCCCACGAGTCTATCCTCAGTGCTCGCTGGAAATGAATAAACAGCTTGGCGGAGCACCGAGAGTGAGAGGCAGAGATGATATCCCGGGCGAGTAATCATTATTCAATTAGGAGCTCGATGTAAGCAGGTGAGGCTTGCTTCGATGCGTGGGGAACTTCCCACGGAGCCGCTGTTCGGGAATACAATCCTCGGGCCTGCGGAGGGAATCGTTGGGCATTGCCTGATAACAATCCTGCGTGTATCTACGTTATCCTTAGTAATTGCTCTCTGAACTCCTGAGAGGCTTCTATCCAATGCCGAGATTTCCTCGGGGACGCGTCCATCTTAGCCCGATACGGACGAACGAACGACTCTGATCCGCTGCTCCGACGGCTGTATCATATCGATACGAGTAGAAAGAAGTCTATTTATACTGTGCGCGTAAACCCGTGCTGAAACTCGCTGCTGTCGTTTTTACTCACATCGAAAGTTGTGGCGGTGAGTTAATAAACTGGAGACCGTGTTCACCCGATAGGCTGAACGGGTCGGGCTCGCGGTGTGTTGACTGATTAGCAGGACGCCTCGCGTTATATAAGCATAGGTTCCGCTGGGCTGGTGAGAGATTGCTCCTTTGCAGCCTGCGGAGCGCTTCGAAGTTTGAGCATATTCCGTTCCCTCGAGCATTCTCGCGGATGATGCGCGGGCTAATAATTGACGGAAACGAATGGATGACTTGCTCGGTGTGAATACATGACGGCCTCGCTTCGGGATCAAGTTCCGTCTCCTGGCACGACGATCGTCGTGGATGTTTCGATGCTCGCTCTCCTCACCGAGATTTCTAGGAGGCTTGAATACATTTGTAAGTACTCGGAGCGGCAGCGAATGACATCCCAAAAGCCCTATCTTCTTTGAATTGAGAGGACTTGATTTTCCTCGGAAAAAAAGCTCTCGAAATTCGATTATAAGCGCCTAAATGTGAGCTTTCCCCCGGGAAGGAGCGATCCCGATCAAGCACGGAGGAGGGGCGGGGAGAGAATCCGCCGAATTGAGCTGGTCGGATGATAGTCCGCGTGTCTGACTGAAGTTCGCAAAACTATTATCTTGCTACGTGAGGCATACAGGGCTCGGTAGCTTCCGCGGCTCCGTGTTCGTTGAGGGCGGCCCTCGCCTGAGCCACCCTCTCCTTTGAGGATCGTGGGGGTTGCCCACCAAAACATTCAGAGCACTTCGTGCGGCTACAGAGTAAGGGCGCACGACGTGCTTCTATGTGCGCGTTTTGTGGTGTGCTCCCCGATCCGACGCAGGAAACCTAGAGATAACACTTGTGTCCAGGGAAATCATTCCCCTTTGCATTAGAAGAGTTCAGCGCAGATTGTCGGGCCCTGACAGTGAGTTTAAACTTGGATCCCTAATTAGACAAAATCATCTGTTGCGTTTATCCATCATTTTGGCTTGGGTCGCTCGATTGGCTCATGTGGATCACGGAGCTGTATCGAATATCGATCGATGCCGTCGATATTTGGCCTAAAAAATCTAATAGATCGATTTCCAAGATAGCCGTAAACTCCCATTACCGACTTCTCCGTCGTCCGGTTGTGCTCGGCATAAATCCCCGCGGATCATAATCGTCGTTCGTGGAATTTTTCGTAATTCCTACCGACTCGAACTCTTTGTGTCGCTGGTCCGTCGCTTCGGGCGATCGCTCGATGAAGATTCGCCGACCCAAATCGGTCAGCAGAGGAGCATCACGCGCAATACGCACGGAAATCCATTTGTCAGACGATCCGTGGAATCGATCGAGTCAAAGTTACCCGGAGCGACATATTGACAGGCTAACAGGCTATTCTCGTGCGCAGCGTCATCCTCAGGCGCACTGCGTATTTTTGTTGGAAGAAGTTCGGAGCTACCATTAGGGTCAGTCCATTATTCTTGACAGTCACTTGCTTCACATCAACTGCCAAACAGTATCCACGCTCATTGATGGAAGAGCTCCTTTGGAGATCTCCGTATAGTGGGATGCCCCAGGTCAGAGTCTCCTCGACTCGCTAGTTTTCAATCCATGGGCTTTCTATCGCTCCGATAGCGAAGATTACTCGCAGGGCGCTTTCGAAGGCCCGAGATACTGACACGAGTGCGCCGCGCCGACGACTTCATCCGACAATTCTGATCGGGGATTAATATTCTGGGCGGTTCGAATTATAGATTCAGCAGTTTCTCGATCGGGCAGTTAAGAAAATGATTTCGGGCAGAAATTTCACAAATTCGGCAGTTTTATTACTTAGGACTAGCAGTCTTTTTTTCAATTCGTACAAGTTTATTTTACAAAGCTGGCAGTTATTCACGAGGAGTCGGGCAGTCTTCGACAACGAGACTGGCAGTTAGATTTGCAAGGAGAGAAGCTCATACTTCTTCTACCCTAGTCGACGAGGAGAGCGCGAGTTGCCCTCCTCGGTCTACCTGGCTTCCGTTTCTGACCCAGAGGAATCTGCTTAGCTTCGGGTGGCGGCGTGGCGGGCGGACTAGCTGCCGACGAATAGCCATACCGAGAGCGTGCTTGCATTTGTATTCCTTGAGAAAGCATGGACAGGAGCAGCGCGCCTCCTTCCACTCCTCACCTGTCATTCTAACGACCCAGGCCGAGGAAGCATGCCTCTGGAAGTTGTCGAAACTCCCCCATTCGCTCTCTCTGGCGGGGAATTCAAAGTCGAAACCCCTCCCCTAACGCAAAAATTACCGCTGATCCAATAAGGAAGACTGCCACTCGAATAAAGCTGCCTGCTCCCTCCATGGAGAAGCAGCACAAAGCGAGTTGAAGTCTGCCCCTGCTTAAAGAGAACTGCCCTTCTTCTAATCATCGCCGCCGATTCTATACTGCCGCTTGGAAAGCTGCTAAGTCTATAAATTAGTTGGCAAGTCGGTAAAATAACTGCTGATCGATATCAGAAGATCAGCCGAAATATTTAAAAAAATCTGCCGGTTAAAATACAAGCCATTCTGATCCGCTCCATCAGACTCGTAGTTTTCTTTTTGAATGATAATGACGTGTGTGATTGTATCTTCCGTCGGCCTCGAGCTGTATCTGGTGATCTCGAGCTCCGTTGTAATCGGGACATCTGCAGACTGCAGTAATCCGCCTGGAAAATTTATCGTTCCAATTACTGAGGGGGGAGGAAGGGCTCTCTTCCAGAATCGCATACTCGGCGCTAACTCGATTCTCCCAAGTGAGTTTCTCGACGCGAGTGAGCCCCGGGTCTGGACGATGTCGGCCGCTGAGCGAGATTATTCCAACAATGGTTCTGAATGGGCGATAAGAGTTTAGAAACTAATCGAGTGATGGGCTCTGAAGAGCCTCTCACATGCAAATGCTCCCCATCGTCTCTGCGCAGAACCCTGATTGAAGTGTGTCCCTCTCTGGACGTTTCCGCTCGACTGCAAACCTCGGTTGGAGATTACTAGTGCTGGACTTCTTTTCGGATCATACATCGCTCTTTCACTACGAGTCCGTCAAGTGGCAGTTCCATCACCAAGACCCAATTCACAGGGACTAGAGACTAGAGAGACGATTGATCGACAAGGATGCGTATCCGCACGATTGAGAGGAGGATTCTCTGAGAGCAGAGGACTCGATCCTTTCGTCTCCGAGCGAATTCACGGTTTTCCGTAAAATTGCTTCGGGTCGCAGCGGTTCAAGCGGAAGATATAATTCTCAGAGGAGAGGGAAATGCGTTTTGCCTCTGGAGTGCGAAACCTAGATGATGAAGCGAATCGGAGAAGATGAAGGCGAGCATAAGCTACTGAACTCCGCGTGGAAGTTTAAACGAGTCTCCCGAGGAGTTGCTTCGTCTAAAAAAGTCTCATTGGCATTCACAGTCGACCACTGCGTCTGGGAGGTTGGGCCGACCGGGGCGAAGGTGGTCTCCGCGCGGAGAACTGGGGCCTCGGTGCTCTTATTTCTCCTTGCTGTACTCGTTCCGCGGGCCGCGTTGCTGACCGTGCACAGTGGACGCCCACCCGCGTACCTGCTCCCGCCGTCTATGCAACACTTGCCCGCGGCTTATTTATGCTAACTCGATTCGAGTACCAGTCAGTCACTCAGTCCGCTAGCCAGGTTGGTTTCCCGCTCCTGTTCTCTCTCTGGAAAGCTTGCGCTTCTCACCTTCCTGACTTTCTCTCATCATGTCCGTTGGAAAAGAGGAAACCGCGAGGAAGTCGTCTGCGCATCTATCGTCTCTCCGAACGGGGGTCCGGTTGACAATGAATTGAGTGACGCAACTCTCTTTTCGAAACTAGAGGCTCCAGCGCATTCCAGCGTGTGGCATCCTCAAAGAGGAATGCAATGCTGGTCAGCTCACTCGTTCTTCTGCTGTCTTGCCCGGGAGAAGGAAAAAACCGACGACGACGTCAACAACGGAAACAACAGTGCTGCCTGTAGAGGGGCCGACGCTTAAGCTGAAATGTGATGACTCCCAGCCTTTTTCAATAAGTCAGACAGGAACAAATGGCTTGCAGACAAGTAGGGGAGGAGCGTGAGAGCAACATAAATAGTGATAACGAGGGACGAAGGCCGGCTGGAGAAATTTCGCATTTTGCGAGGACGGTGTAAGTTTTTTTCCGACCGCGTTTGGGGAAATTTACTCTTCGACACGCGCTATTTGAAGCTGCCTCAAAGGCTGCCCGTGAATTTATAGTCCGTGGAAGGAGACGGAATGCGGAATGGCCAGTGATAAATCAGAACGCGTTGTCTTGGGGCAGCTCGTTCGCGTGAGTGCGGAAAGAAATTCCCACTACTGACTACCATCCACCCACTCACCCCACCCACCCATCCATCCGAGCTCATCCCCAACTCGAGCGAAACCCCAGCGCTCAGCCGCTATCGTCCCGCAACGCCCCCGTCTCGCATCCACGGTAGAAGTGGATGACCAAGATAGGGAAGCAGTAGATAGGGGGAATGAGCAGAGGAATAAGGAATAAAAAAAAGACGAATCGCCCCGAGATTTCCTCCGCTGAAAGGCGCAATTTGCTCGTTCGCGTCGAAACAGCGAATGGCTATCTTCAAGGAACGTCTCTTCTTATCATAAGCTCACGGCGCCGCGCCATGCGCGAGATGTTTTTTTTTCATGGCGTGTCGTTGTTTTCTCTCTATTCTGGCGGATGAGGAGCGCGCAGAGGGAAAGAATGGATACACAGTGTGTGTTTGAATGTCGTACTGACTAGAGTCGAGATGAGGTCATGAAGATCCTCTGGGCTCTAGTCGGGAGTCTTGACCGACATCGCACAGCGACCTCCGGGAGGGAAGAGTCGCGGCAATGCAAAGTCGACTCCGTGAATGGTTTCTCGCTCAGCTGGTCCTCAGTCATGGTAGCTACCGTTGTTATTGTCGACGTTTCCCACGTCTCTTCGTATATCCTGCTCGCTCCCGTCCTTTCTTCGTGTTCCTCCATGGAGGGAACATGCAGCCGTCTCCAGGTTCTGAGACGAAACACATGTCTCGAAGGGAGACCGGCATGCATCTACCTCATGCAAAGAGCGGCGAAACTCGCCACGGATGTCGGTTCCAATCCTGTCGAGCTGCTCGACCGGGCGGCGTCATCATGGGAAGCGAAATCTGCGATTTAGGCGAAAGTCGGCATCTTACCCCTCGTACGAGCGATCATAATCATCTTCCGCGAACTGCGATCGGAGCCTTTAGTTCCTCCAGACTTGTTTGTAGAGCGATAAGTGGGCATAAGGAAGTCTGACGAGGCTTTCCGGAAATCCTCCCGGGAAACGTTACAAACTGCAAGATCTTCCCTCGACAAGAGATTGATTTTCGGTAGGTCAGCTTCCCCGGCCCGGGAGGGCTCCTCGAGCGATGTGATTAGGAATGGGAAGCCGTATCGACTCGTTCCAGACTTGGACGTATTGAAGAATTCCGTCATCTTCCCTGGAGGCCACGAGAGCGGGAGCTTTTCAATAGCCATACCGACTCTATGCCGCCTTCCCCCTCGCAGCGAAATTATCTGCAGTCAGCGATAGTCATTGTCATAAGTGGAGGAGTCGAGCTGCAGCAGCAGCAGCAGCGAGTTTTTGTACGGGCGGATTCCCTTCTCCGAGGTATTCTTAATTCTTAATTCAAAGTCGAGAGGTTTCATTGTCACAGCACACCGCGCCCAGAGGATTCTGCTGGATATCGGCAAAAAAGCTTCGCTCGCGATGCTTGAGCCTTGAGCTCCATTGGGTGATATTATTGGTACTACCGTGTACCGTCGGGTCCTTCTGCTGAATTCAGACAAATAGCGGGGGATTCCCGGGATCTCCAACGGAAATACCGTTCCTCGCTCCAAGGATTCTTTCCGTGGAGGAGTTCTCCTCAGTCAAGTTCAGGAATTGCGCAGCTCGCTTGAGTCGCAAGGGCAGCGGCCATGAGACAATCCTATGAATTGAAAGGGAATCTAGGTGTTTCCAGACCTGGTGACAGGAAGACAGACGGCTCCGAATTGCGGAACAGATGCCGCTGCTGACTCGGATCCCCAACTGGCGCGAGCCACTACCTCCACCACTAACACCAGCAATATCCGCAAAGGCTCTTGGTGTGAACTTGTAAGAGGTCGGCTTTCCTTGCTATTGCTCTTGTCTCCTGTATCGCCGTCGTTGTCGTCATCGCGGTCCCCCACACGTTGCTTGTCGAGGCCTCTGTTCGCCACCCACGGGCCGTCGATGTTGCAGCTGTTGGCTGCTGCAGCTCCTGTCGTCATTTACTCGGCGGCGATCGGCGTTGCAGGTAGCTGCGGGGCCGCCGCCGCCGACAAACAAACCGAACCGGGCTCGCTGGCGGGAGAACGGGCGAGCAGGGTGGCCGCTGCTGGAATTCCTCGACCCAAAAGGGTCCAAGTGTGTGGCAGGCAGTTCTTCAATCTCTTTGATTTCACGCCCCAATGGCGATTATTTGTTTTGGCTGACTGGCGGGCCCAACTTGTTTCTGCCCTAATGGAGCCGACGTGCTTCAAGCGGAGATTTTCTCTTGGCGCGCTGTAATGGTTTCCAGAGGTTACGCTTTAGTCAATCTCTCGGCCTATGTTTCCGCTCAGAGCTCAGCTCGAGCTCCTACCCATATTCAGATATTTTCCTGTCGAATGAAGGATCAGAAACAGCACGCGAACACTTTTGGCGAATTAGGGAATAAAATCAAGAAAAACTCGAGATACAGACAAGCGGAAAGAGAGCTCGCTATTTCATCAAGCCGGACACGGAGTCCGGGACATCTGGGAGAGCGGGGACGTATCTAGCGAGTTGCAGACAAGGAACGTCCTGGGACCGGCCGACGTACCTGCCGAGAGACCGGCTGGCTGGCTGGCTGGCTGGCTTGCTGCGAGTCTCATTGTTCCCGGTCGCGGCACTGCATACCCTCAGGAGTTTCCGGGCGTTGCGTCTGAATGCACAGCTGCTTATGAAAGTGCATTGGGGGGATGCAGAAACGGTGGATGGTTGAGTGGGTGGATAGGTAGGTAGGTGGGGTGGGCAAGCTCAGAGGAAGGAATGCTGAGCTCTCTACATACATAGGCTCCGCTCATGCAATGCGCGGGAAGCACCTGAAGCAAAAGGAACCGGGTAACGAGCGATGCACAGCGCGACGGAAGTGAGCGGCAGAGGAACCCGAGGAAAGGAGCATCTGACGAAAAGGGATTTACCGGTAATTTATGAACTCGGTCGTGCCAACATGACAATGGAGGGGACTGTTGACAAGCACATTGCTCCAATGCTGTGTTGCAAACGTCGGCGCCGCGACGGTCGGGGGAGTTTCTCCGCCCCGAACTTCTATGAGAAGCGCAAACGGCAAGGCTTTCATGAAGACCGCCGCGCCGCCGCACAAAAAAGGGGTCATCATCATGGAAGTCTGAATTCGACGAAGAACGTCGAGCGAGGAGAAACGGAGAGACGCGGAAAACCGGAAAACACCACATTTTAAGCGAGAAATTCGATGTATTTCCCCGCGATGCCCACCCCGGGGGCGTCGCTCTCACTGAGATTCGGAATCGTCCGTCTTATGTTTCCGATTTCATCCCTCACGGAACTTTATTCAAAATCTTCCGCAAAATTAATGTTGTCCATGGACTCACCGCAGCTATGCTTGGTTCCAGATACGCAAGAGACTGAGGTAGCTGCATCGTCTTCAGAAAGGCAAGTGGAGTGGGGCATAGTGGGAAATGCAGTTGCATGGGTTTCAGATCGAGAATCCGACGGAAAAAAACACGTGTACTCTCACCACCCTCGTTGGGCAGGTTCGGAATATTTTTGCATGATTTTAAGCTTAACTCATTCGAGGGCGCCAAGTATGCAAACTAGGCCGAAAGCTCCTGAATAAATGAATCCACTCAGGCCTTCGGGTCGAGGGGCGAAACCCCTCGGGCTAGCTGACTGGCTGGCTCAATTGACGAACCCCTTCGTGAAACTAATTATTTTAGATGCTGTCAGCTTTTTGATTGCCGAAAAACTCATACATGTAATCAAGCTCCCGCCGTAGTGGAGTTTTGGCGAGCTTGTTGAAGGTTCTTTTTGCAGAGAGTTTCATCTCCGTGTTCCATGAACTTGACTGAGAATTCAATCACGAGCCTCCTCGGACAGGTGGTAAAGCTCCGAACTCCGCTGTTGAGATCCGTACTTCGTGTTGAGATCAGCTGCGCGAGGCGTTAGAACTTCCTGAACCATTCGGCTGATTGCGTCGGATGTTCCTTCATCTCGAAAGGAATCATCCGGATCTAAGCGAGAAATTCGAACTCCGAGTGAGATATGCTCTTCGCCCTGGAAATGAGAGCCCCGAATGAGGGGGAAGCTCGGAATGGGAAGAATGGAATGAAGGGACCCGGGTTCGAGAAGCGCAAGATGCTGGGCAGGTTGAGAATCCGGAGCCGGTTCTGTCGATCAAACGCTCGTTCGTATGCCTGGCTGTGTTATTAAATAAGACGGAGCGAACATTGGATTTTTATGCGGAAAAATTTTCTCGTACGGCGCGGTATCTGTGTTCGTTTCCATTCCCTGTCAGGACGGGCACTCGACTGGCTTTAGGAATATTCTCTCAAATCCTCCACACACGATATTTTCATCGGTCCCTAGCACATACTATTCCTGCCGCTGCTGTCTCCGGACGCCCGTCCGCCCTCGCTTGGCTCGGACTTTTCTCGTCAAGCAACCCCTGCGAAATTAGAATCCTGAGCTCGACCATTCCGCTGACTTACAGGCCTCTGCCATGCTCTTTATCATTGTGAAGGAGAAAACCGTCGAAGAGTCTCGACGAGAAGTTGAGTGTTGTAGAGGCGGAAATTTTCGCTACACGGGTATCCGTAGCCACCGAGTTCGGAGCAAGCATTTCGAACCTACCTCATCTTAAAATCAGTCTGCGGATGACATCTGCTTTCGTTGTCGGGCTCGTGCCGTGGAGGAAGGAGTTCACGTGTATAGGTCGGGTTCATGCAAATCTTACTTAGCCACTCGCAAGTCGCAATATTGAAGCTGTCAACGATGTTGTTGGGACGCTCTCATTGGCAGCTTGCATCCTTGCCACATATTGGAAGTCGGTCGCGTGTTCGCTCGATAGCGACTCTGTTGTTATCGTATCGAGGAGATCGTTGAAGTTGTTCTGCGGCTGGAGATTCTCTGAAAGCCCCGCCTCGTTCTCCCGCATATTCTTCCATCCATCTTCATCTTCGCTCCCTCCGGGCTCCGTGCTCATCGCATGCTTAGATGGAAACGACCAGAAAAATATGAGTTCGAAGCGTTTATCCATTCCTCTCGTCCCAACTCCTCCTATTTTCTGCATCGCCTGCAGACGAGGTGACCATGAGCTTCCGAGGGAAAGATCTCACCTTACGCGGGGATCTTCTTCATTTCTTGTCGGACACTTATAAGTTCGTAGACCCTTCTCAACTTTGCGGTCGACTGCCAGCCCGACCGCCCGTCCGTCCGGCAAGCGAGCCCGCTGCGGGTCGGGTTCGTTCCCCGTACCGGGTGTTCCCCTATGCAGAGCAAACTTTTGCTCCAAGAGTTGTTTCCATTGTAATGGCCGACAGCTTCTCAGGGGCGCTTTCCTGCGTGTTACACGCATCATTTCATTGCTGCTTCCACTGCTGTTACCGTCGTCTACGAGGGAAATAGGTCGAGTCGTAATCGCCGTCGCTGCCATTCATGTCGCGGCTAGCCGAAGGTTTCAGGAAAAGAGTCACTTGTACTCATGGCGTGTCCTGCCTCACGGGACTGCCGACTGCGGTAAGCCAAGCAGCTACCGTAGTCATCGGGCCGTTGTACTCACCGGAGAGTCGGTTCACCAACACGAGGAGGGACCCACACAAAAGGAGTTAATTAATTAATCCCTGCGAATTGGTCCAATGGAAACCCGAGGTAATCCTGGGAGACAATCGAAGCCGACGTCTTGAGCGACGAATGTCCCGAGATCGGCCTCCTAGCTGTCTCATCTTATTGAACAACAACAATAAGAGAGTCGACTCCTTAGATAGCTCAACTGGGTTGCCCTCTCGACGAGACTTCGGAGTTCACCAAACGAGGCTCCATCCTAAGGCTTTAGTATCGTCGTAGACAAAGAGTTACTCTGTAACAGACACTCGCATAGAAACCACGAGTAACTCGTAAAATTCGTTAACAAAACGGAAAGCTTTCTCAGGGACAATTATTCTTACGTAGGTCCTAAATAGAGAACACCTGCTCGCAGCGTACAGAGCTTGAGCTCGCCTCCCAACAGCGAGTAGCTGTGTTACGAAACTTGATGCAAAAGAGTGAACTCCACCGATCTCGCGTTATCAGCACGGCAATAGCCCGTCATACTACGCGGCTGAAATCGACCGTTGGAAAAAAGCACATATATGATCGATTCGAGTAGGAAGCCCGACAATCGTTCCTTCGGCTAAGCAGACTCCGGATCGTACCGACCGAGGGAAGGACTTTTAAGCATTGAATATGTAGTGAATAAGACGACAGGAGGATTCTACCTGCAGCGACGCTTCCGCCAATCGAGAATGATGACGCGTTTCCTCACTTCTCGATTGAAATTGATTGCCCGGAGCTTTCGGGATTCGGAAAAATATTCGGAGCGGAAAGAAGTTCGAAGAAGATTTCCCTCACCGAGAATCTTCCGCACTGATCGCTTGACATTAGCCATGCATGCGGGCGTCCACTCAATCACCGCCACTTGTCCGTCATAGTCATGAGGTCTCTTCAGCCTCAGTCACGCATACGTCATACACTTTCTCGCCCTACCCTTTCTTGGATGACAACCTCGAGCGGTCCGGGGTGTGGGTGCCCGTCGGCGGTGCCGGGCGTGTTCGGTATTGTTTCCGATGGAAGCTGGTACGAGCCCGTCCGTAAGTGCATGCTCGCGTGGAAGAACACTCTGTGCAGCTCTGAAGCAACTCGTGACGTTGACCTGTGCCGGTGCCCGAAGCTGCCATCGTCCCTTTTTCAAAACGCGATGCGACGCCTCCCGGAGCTTGAGGGACGACATTCTCTGCACTTGAAGATGACTGTGGAGGGGAGCCTTCGAAGGTGGAAATCTCGCGATGTTCACTCGTTTTCCGGTGTGGGCCGAAAGTTCTCGCGGGGGCCTGCGTTTTCCATCTGAAAAGTGTCCCACGTGTGTGACGACGTATAATCTGCCGATCGGGATAGATTGCGTGACCGGCGCTCATCCTGCTTTAGAGGGGAGAGGGTTCGTGAGAGGAAATTCTGCGGAAAGCGCGTGAGCAGCACTCTGCGATAAGCGGTCGACGAGCTAATCGGAACCTTACCATCCGTGTTACGGCTGAAAATCGCTGAAACTATGACGCTGCGAGAGGACGGTCGGACTGCTGGAAAATGGTCGCTTCGACAAAAGCTGCGCTCCGCAGCAGCTTTCTCCTTTCTTGACTTTGACTGACGGTCGTCTGACGGCCTGAATGCTGATATTCCGATCGCTGTGGATTCGCGACTTGTTGTCGGTCCTGGGGTGTGAGGGATGAGAATAATGCGACAGCAATGGAGCCGTTCGAGCGGAAACGAAAGATTGCGCACCATTTCAAGTGGAAGACGTTTTTAATTTGTTGCGTTTTTATCTCTTATCCCTCACTGGCACTGCGATCTTTCTCGAGAACGCGCTCCGCGTCGCTCTGTTAATGGACGCAACGGAAGCAAAGTCGGAGTTGGGGGGCATCGAGACAGGAAACGCGTCTAGTCGCGACCAAGTCAATCATCGTCTGTTCGCCGATCCATTACGGAAGAGACTTTTTTACTAATTAAGCTCAAGCCGAATAATAAGTGACGAGAAGATAGCCCTAGTCAGCAAGTCAGGAAACAGCACAAATGGAAGACGTGACATAGCGCTTCACACTCGCCCGATGGAGACGAAGAAAGAAACGTGGACAAGCAGCGCTCAAGCGCCCGTAGACTCAAGCGGGGGGTACTTTTTCATTAGCTCCTCGCTTCTCTCTTGGAGCATTGTCTCACTCCTTCGCCTGTAGGAGAACCGTAAGAACTCGTATGTCGCGTTCTCGGCCAGGCTCGAGAATCAATACTCAGTCGCCTGTTGGCCGACACGGCGCCGGCGGCTGCATACTCCAGCTAGCCTCGAAGTGACAGGGAAGAGAAAAACCGCGCGGTCCAGGCCGAGAGAAGGAAAGACGTCGAAGTACCGAGTGGAAGAAATCCCTAGATTACACTTCTCCGAGCCGGTCGAAATCAGAGTTTTACGGCACTTGGTCACGCACATACTCGGGGCGGGTCCTAGGGTAAGAAGGAACGACCGAATCACCGAAACCACTTGAGGATTTCGTTCCCTGACGCTGTCGTGGGAATACGAAACTTGTAGCGAGTTCAAACAAACCCGCAATCACCATCGGATCGGACGTGCAGCGAACAATTCAAGGATCCATCCGGAAGAACGAATGGACCTCGACCTCTCGACGTCATACGGAGTGGACATACAGAGTGGTCGTCGCGGATAGCTCATCGATGCCCGGACTCACGGAGATCTTTTATGAGGCACGAGGTCAGTCAATTGAGGGGAACGTTACTGTCGTCTGCCTTCTGCCGGAAGACCCTTGCGCGAAGTGGGTTCTCTTGTATGGGATGCTTCAAACCCGATCTGGGTCGACCTGGAGCTTCGGAACCAATCAAGTCCCATCCGCTTCGCTGGATTC